AAAAAGGATTCATGTAGCCGACCCCACGTAGTGGGATTAAGGCTTTGTTGTTGTTGTTGTTGTTTGTTGCTCATCCCTTCTTTTTCCATAATTCTCCTATTTTATTTCATACCTACTCTATGCCTTACTTTTCTATTTCTTTCCTTTCGTAAGCATTACCTATTATATTTACAAATTTCCATTATATATATATAGTCACCTCTATATATATATATATATATATATATATATATATATATCTGTGTGTGTGTGTGTGTGTTGTTGAGTGCTTTAGAGTCCGAGGTGGTGACCGTCTTAGGGTGGGGTGCTCCGGCTGTAGCTCAATCCCGACGAGATATTTATCTTTCCGTAGCCCTTCCGGCCCCGCTCCCAACAGCAACAAACTATTTTCTTCGTCTTCTCCAAGCCACAACCTCCCTTCCGCCTGCTGTCCACTAACAACAACCTTCCTGTTCTTCACTGTTGCAGCATGCCTTGCCCGCATCTCCTATTGCCCAATCCGCCAACTGCCCATCCAGCCTTTACCCTTCCTCCCTTCACTTGCTCCCTCAGCCAACAGCAGGTTTACGTCACCTGCTCATCCTATTCCTCCCATGTCGCTGCTAGGTTGCTGTCCAACACCTTCTGCTGCTGCCACTATCCCTTCCAACCTCTCATGTTGCTATCATATCCCTCTCTCACACCCTAACCTACTGCCATACTTACCCTCACCAGTCCTCTGATGCTGCCGCAAGCCTCGGGCCGCCTTCCTACCTGCTGTCCAGCCGCTGCTCAGCCCCTTGCTGTCGCCCTCGTTTACCTTTTTATGTTTACTATCTTTTATTTCCTATTTGAAGGAGTCGTTGTTATAACCGATTTTAATTTCAGCAGTAATATTTCTTTTCCTATGGTGGTTTGGGCTTCCTCCAATATCGTTGGGGCTAAATAGTCTTATTTTGCACATCACTTTTTTCAGTTGCTTGTTGGTGTTTATGCATTGCTCATTTCGATTATTGGTATCCGCTTCCTAGTTTTGCCATTGCAAGGAATATGGTTGGGCTTTCAAATGACAAATTTTGGGTGCTTTTTGGAGGGTTTCTGCAGAGTTCCTTGGGTTCACCTTTTGGGTGTTTTTCGCTAGCTAATTTTTGTTCTGTTGTTGTCTGTCTTCTGATTTTTCGGCTATCTTGGCTGATCCCTAGTGCCAAGGGTTGGTTCTCTTATGGATCTTTGGCAGAATACTACTCGGTTTGGATTACCATGCTTCTTTTACATCTGTCCTCAACTACGAGTTGCTTGCCCCTTCCAATTTCTTTTAATGACTATTTTTGGTGGAATCATCTATTGTAGTTCAGGTTTATTTCTCCGTTGGGATATGGTTATTGACTTTGTCAAGCTGCTCATCTACTTATCTCATGAATTGCATCTCTTTGGTATGATGGTTGCCGGGTTGGCTTGGACCTTGAGCATATTGGCCATCATGGTTCTTTTCTCTGATTGTCATTGACCCAATGCCAAGGTCTGCATTGAAGTTTTTTCATTTTAAGGACCTTTCTTATGTTTTTTTCTCATGCATGTTGAACTTTTGTTTAGGAGTTACCACTATTGCATTATCTTCATCAAGTCCTACCTCCTTTGTAACTATCTATTTTTCTATTAATGAATCTTTTTCTTTTCTAAAACAATTCTTTTGCAAATCAACCTAAAGCGGTTTTCTAGGCTTTAATCAGGCGTCATCCACTTGTTTATGGTTCATTTAAAGGGTTAAAACTTAGGTTTATCTGATCTGCTAGTTTAATTTGTATTAATATAAAATCTGTGATACTTATTTTTTTCTTTCTAATATGTGATCTAATTTTTTTATTAATAAATCGTTGACTTTCTGATTTCTTTGTAGTGTCTTGGTCAGGAAGAAGACAAACATTGAATCGATGGCCAATGATTTTCAATACTTGGTACTTTTTTTTTTCCTATTGTTAAGTTTGAATATTATGCTGTTTTTTTAGTATCGAGCTTATTTTATCCCAATTAAGTCATCCTTCAAATATTCAAATTTTTTTATTTTTTGGTCTTAATTTATGTCACTGAGGTCTTTAGAAACTTATGCAATGAACTTTAGCAACTAGTTAAGGTACCTTTACTAATTACATCATCTACTAATCTTAAATTAACAGTTCAGTCTCTAATAAGGATTACCCAAGCTATACCTTCAAATTGTCACTTTACCCTCTATCTATAAGATAATTGGATACTCAGGTGCTAAGTAGTCTGACTCTCGGAAATGCTAGTTGGCATACTGTTGTGCCCATAAATCAGCCGATCCACCCTGGAGCAGCTGAAGTCATTATAACCGGCCCACAGGCGTGCCGGTCTTGGAGACAATAAGAAGTGGGACGGACAAGGGGACCTGCAAAAGAAGGCAAGAAAAGGGTGGGGTCCAATAGGGCCATAATCATATATGCAAGGAGGAGAAATTAAGGGAGTTAGGAAGGAAAGTTTTTGAAGTGCTGGGAGGGGATTCTATTAGGGGGATAACCTTGGGTTTGCTTTCTTTATGCATTATTTTGTTGGCTGCTGTGTTTTCTTCTTTTGATGGTGTTCCTAGCGACGTATAGGGTGTGTGAGAGTCGATCTACCTCTCGAAAGTAGATCATTTTTTGTATCTTGCTTGTTTGCATTTGTTTTTTGTAAGAGCAGCCCTTATTTGACTTATTTACATCTATTTATCGTCGTTTCGTTGTTGTTGCTTGCTGATTTTGAGTTTGTAGTATATCAAATTGGTATCAAAGTGTAGATCTTGGTGAGATGACAACAGAGAAAGTGGACGTGTTTGAAGGTAAAGTAGGGCAAATTAGATCAGGAATAAAAGAGAGGTTCGCCACTGTAGAGACCGAGTTTTCTTCCATTGAAAGTCGGATGGAGGATGGATTCGAGAGCATATGAGAAATGCAGGAGATGCTGAAAAAGCTAATTGTGATGCAATCCAAGGCCGTGTCGACCGCTCCTGTTGCAGACCCTAACCAAGGGTTGATTAGGTTGATTAGGGAATCCTTGACCGAGTTAAATGGAAAGGAGATCGAGCGAGAAGACAACGAGGAAGTCATCTTCTACCCGCAAGAGTGTAACCCTAGGACTCCGAGAGTTGGGGAGTGAAGACTTCCGATGAAGGGGGGTGGGCCAAAATTGGAGAGATTGTGTAACAAGCATGGAATAGTATGATGGAGCGAGGAGGGAATCGAGAGTTGGATTTGTCTATGACTGAAGGAGGGAGTTTCACCCTATATACATTGAGGGAATTCCCGGAGGAAGAGAAAGTTGGGGTGGAGATGCAAGGGTCAGAAAATTGAAGATGTCGAACTTCGAAGGGGATGATACACATGGATGGGTGTATCAGGTGGAACTATATTTTGCATTTAACTAGTTTACTAAGGAGGAGAAGCTCATGACAATGGGATTATGCTTGGAGGAGAAGGTGTTAGCGTGGTTTCAGTGGATGGAGGCAAGGTATTTGATACACTCATGGGAGGAGTGTAAAAATTGCTTGTTGGAAATTTTCTGAGTCATTTGGGAAGAAAACCTACATGAGCAATTCTATGCTCTGACTTAGGAGGAGGCAGTTATGGAATACTTATGGAATACCGAGAGAAGTTTGAGCTCTTGTCAGGGAGGTTGAGAAGAATTTCTACAACAGGCTTGGAAGAGAACTTCTTGAAAGTTCTGAAGCCCGACATACGAGCAGTCATCTGCCCCTTGAGACCGCGAGGATTGAGAGAAATTATGAAGATTGCCCAGATGATGGAGGACTAGAAACATGTGAAAAAGACAGACGAAGGCGGCAACACCAGAGAATTCTATGTACCGTGACAGCCACAACACCGAGAACCAAAACTGTATCATTTTAGAAAGAGACGCCAAAGAGAAGAATACAGGACCCCATCCCGAGGGGTAATTTCAAGCGCCTCACAGATGCAGAAGTGCAGGACAAAAGGGTCAAATGATTGTGTTACCACTGTGACGAGAAATACGCTCCAGGATTGTTGCAAGGAGCACGTCCTTCATGTTCTTTTAATTTAGGAGTGTACAGAGGGTGAGGTGAGGAATCAGAAGAGGAAGCAGCGGTAGAGCATCTGCATTTGGATGTGGCGGAGGTGTCCCTCAATTTTGTGGTGGGATTTACCCTCATTCTCACCATAAAGGTAAGGGGATGGATCTGGGAACAGTCGATTGTGGTGTTGATAGATAGCGGGGCCACATATAACTTCATCTCAAATCAAGTAGTAGAAAAGTTAGGGTTGAAGCCAATGACTACATGGAGCTTGACTTCATGATGGGGACTGGGATGGCGGAGAAAAGTAGGGGAATTTGCAAAGGGTTGGTTCTGACACTACATGACCTACAGATGGTGAAAGACTTCCTTCCTCTATATTTGGGAAGCACATGTGATTTTATGGATGAAGTGGCTAGGAACACTGGGGAGATGAAGGTGGATTGGATGTGTTTGTCGATGAGTTCCAAGTGAAGGGTAGGAAGGAGATGCTAGCTTATGCAAAACTATGGTGTTGCTTAAAACCATTGTCAAGTCGATTCGGGGAGCAGACCTGGATTACTTGGTGGAGCTGCAAAGCATTGAGGAGATTTGAGATTCATAGGTTGCAGAGTTTTAGGAAGTGGTCCAACAACTCTTACAACAGTTTACGGATGTCTTCCAGAAGCCAAATAGGTGCCTCCTCCGAGGGAGCACGCGCACGCTATTACATTGAATGAGGGCATTTCTCTCATTAGCATCAGACCATACAAGTACCCCTAGATTCAAAAGGACGAGATAGAGAAGCTGATCTGAGAGATGATTGATACTTGGGATAATCAGGCCTAGTGTGCGCCCTTTCTTTAGTCCCATCCTGTTGGCGAAGAAAAAAGATGATAATTGGAGATTCTGCGTGGACTATTTGGCTTTGAATAAGGAAACGATGTTGGATAAGTTTCTTATTCTTGTGATTGATGAGTTACCAGTTGAGCTTTATTGGGCATTCTTTTTCTTAAAAATTGACCTTAAATCAGGGTGTCACCAATTCTGGATGAATCCGACAAATGTGCACAATATAGCATTCATGACAAATAAAGAGCATTATAAGTTCTTAGTGATGTCGTTTGGCCTCTTCAATGCCTCAACGACATTTCAATCCCTAATGAATAGTGTTTTTCAACCTTATATTTGGAAATTTGCTATGATTTTCTTTGATGATATTCTGATCTACAGTCGTACTGAGACAGAGCATGTGGGGCATCTGAGGACAGTCCTTAAGACGTTGAGGGAGCACCAATTGTATGCTAACTTGAAGAAATATTCTTTTACACAGTTACATGAGTACCTAGGACATGTGGTGGCCAGAAGGAGGGTAGCAGTGGATCGGCCTTAGATCGAGGGTATGGTTGATTAGCCCATACCAAAGAATTGAAAGAGTTGAGAGGATTCTTGGGGCTCACAGGCTACTACCGGAAGTTCCTGAGAGGGCGACACGATAACATGACCATTGACGGAACAGCTGAAGAAAGACAATTTCAATTGGGGAGAAACAACAACACAAATATTTGAACATATGAAGAAGGTCATTACTCGCATATCGGTATTAACACTTCCAGATTTCAGTAAACCATTTGTGCTGGTGATAGAAGTGTCAGGGTAGGGATTGGGAGTAGTGCTCGTGCAGGATCAATGACCGATTGTCTACTTTAGTCAGGTTCTTACGGCCAGAGTAAGGCTAAAGTTAATATGTGAACGAGAATTAATGGTAATTATCTTGGTCATTCAAGAGTGGCGGCCCTACCTGTTGGGACAATATTTTTTTTGTCAGGACAGATTAGAGGAGCTTAAAGTATCTATTGGAGCAGTGAATGGTAACTGAGGAGCATCAAAGATGGCTACCCAAACTACTGGGGTATGATTTTGAGATTATGTATCGGTCAGGAATGGAGAACAATACAACTGACGCATTGTCGAAAATGGTAGAGGGGGTCCATATGACGACACTACCAGTTCTCTTAGTCCTAGATTGGGAAGCCTTGAGTCAGGAAAACGAAAGGGGTCAGGAGTTGAGAAAAATAAGGGTCGAGTTACTATAGGATCCGAAAAGTCATCCAGGATATGCATTGAGGGGACTACAACTATTCCACCAATTGCGATTTGTGTTGCCCAAGTCTTCGTAGTATATTCCCAAATTATTGCAAGAGTTTAATGGCAGTGCAATCGGAGGGCAATAAGGCGTGCAGAAGACCTACAATCATCTGGCGGCAGAACTTTATAAGGTGGGGATGCGCAGAGACGTTGAGGATATGGTGGCAAAATGCAACGTGTGTCAGCGACACAAATACTTGACCAGGACACCAGGAGGGTTATTACAACCATTGACATTACCAGAGAAGCTTTGAGAAGAAGTGACGATGGATTTCATCGAGGGATTGCCACGGTCAGAAGGGTTCACGGTAATCATGGTGGTCGTGTATCGCCTGAGTAAGTACGCACATTTCATTCCCTAGCAACATCCCTACAGGGTGGTCTCAGTCGCATCAGTGTCTGTCCGGGAAGTGGTTTGTTTGCGCGAAGTACCGAAATCAATTATTTCGAATAGGGACAAGGTGTTCCTCATCCACTTTTGGAAGGAGCTATTCAGGTTGCAAGGAACAGTCCTTAAGAGGAGCGTCACATATCATCCCCAGACCGATAGTCAGATGGAGGTGGTCAACAAGAGTGTGGAGACATACTTGCTTTGTTTCATATTCAATACGCCGAAGCTATGGGCCAAGTGGATTGAATGGGTCGAATATTGGTATAACACGTCGTACCACACCGCATCACAGACCACCCCTTTCAAGATATTGTATCGGTGGGATCCACCTCACTTGGTATATTATGGGCATGGCGGCACACAAGTATTTAGCGTCGATCAATACTTGGAGG